CCCCAAAACCCCAAAACCCCAAAACCCCAAAACCCCTTTATTAGGTTATTTAGTTGAAATAATTAGATAATTATTAGGAATATTACGGTTTATTGCGAACGGATAATAGGGGGTTTATTATGTAGTTTTGTGGATGCTGGATTGATGATGCTTGTTTGGGTAGGGAATTAGGATCTCTTGGTAGGTATTTCTTTGCACTTTTTGGTGAATGAGGGTCTTTGCAGGTGAATATTGGTAGAAATCTTAGGGTCTTTTGGTGGAATATTGTCTTTAGTAGTAAATGAGAGCTCTAGAAGCTTTATAGAAGTAGTCATAAGTGGTTTTCATGGTTAGATGCAAAATGTTAGTAGTTCCTAAAAGGATTTCTTATTGGAGTTGCTTTTAGAAGATATCTGAATTAGCGATTTTCTCAAATATATATAGCAATTAGAACTCCTGATCGAAAGTGTTTTTATTTTATACTTGTTTTTTTAATGAATTTTTTAAGGAAGCTTTTTTTCTCTCCAGTTACAGATATCGTGCTAATTATAGAGTTATTTTAATATTAAAGTTATGGCTATACTTTGAAACAATTATTTTTTCAAATTGGCAAGCATAAGCAAGAACTCTTAGACAATCTTAACTTTAGAAGCAATGAAAGTTATTGAACTATAAATGATTTATACGAGTTAAAATGATTCTTTTATCTAAAAAAAACATAAAAAAGATGCCCTTATATATCAGTTTTTTACCTCACTTAATTATATGCATTCTTCTCAGAGAATATTATTACTGGATTTTCTCCTGGAAAAATATTCTAAAACTAAAAGAAGGTCTTCACAGTTTATTTTAAGCCTGCTCTTGTTTAAAGAGCTTGATTATAACTTCTCTGTATTGCTATGCTATCTCAAAGTTGGCCTAAAGTTCTAGAAACACGGACTTAAACTGATTTAGCCAGTATGAATAGTTTACTTTCATGATGACGTATTTGTATGAGATTTATGGTTACAAGTCGGCTGGAGTGCTTAAGCTTAATTCTCTTAAACTAGGTATCCTTTCAACACAAATTCTAAACAAGACGGTTGTGCAACTCTATAGCTTAATATTTTCCTTTGAGGATGATACTTAAAGAAGAATCCTGGCTGGATAAGTCTGAACACTAAGGTAATTTAAAGCTTTTGTATATTTAGACATCCGTTAATTCTCTTAAACCACATAAATTCTGAATTAGAAGTGGTGAATAATCAGGTCTTAAGAAGATTTCCTTCTTCATGATTGATGAGCATTCTGGTTGATATTTTTGGGAAGTATAGAGCTTCTTTATAAAATTTAGAGCCACCTTCTTGGAAAGTATTTCCAATCTGTACTGATAGAAATTATAGACTTGATGTTTCACAAAAAAATGAATAAAGTAGGAAAAAAACTCTAAAAATTAGCTGAAGAGAGTGAGTGAGGATAATAAGCTTTCCCAAATGATTCAGGCTTAGTAGGTGTTTTAACAAGGCTTCTTATGAAGTGTATGCTAATGATATCCCTTTTATATTGGAAAGTACATAAAAAATCATTCCATGTTTATCGAAGCATAGTTTTTGATAAGCGCTAGAGGAATTAAATCTCTGCTTCTTTACTTAATCAAGATTATAATTTTAAAGCCAGAGGCTTTTGATATTCCTGATCTCAAGTTCAGATTTCGATTCGAAAACATAAGCTTTGAGAATACTTACTGTAACATTAAATAGTAAGTTTAAAGTATTAAAAAGTTACCAAAAATTAGAAAAAATCCTATTTTCTCAAAATCTGTCATTTCATGTACACATGATTTCAGAGGGTTTGATAGTCAACAATAAGCTTATTAATGCAAATTTTGGGTGCAACTAGTTTATTAATTCAAGTTTACCCAAGCGGTAGCTTCACCAAAATTTAGCACTGAAAGAACCTGCGAACGTCTGCTTCGGAATTTGAAAAGTTATTGGCTCATTCTTTATCCTGAGTTTTCAAACAATAACCTTCGAAGTAAAAAGAGCAAAAGGAGAGATGAAATTTAGGATAAGGTCTCTATGATCGAGAAGCTTCTCTGGAATTCTATTGATAATATTTAGAAAGAATTTAGGACATTATTATCGTAACTAAACTCGACCATCTCAATTAGAAGCTATGTAATTTCAGATGCAAATGAGAGAGATAAGAAGGTTTGGAGCAGTTTTTACAGCTTTAATCTCTATTATGTTATTGACTACTTGAAACATATGTAATCAAGAGGGAATGTGAAATTATGAAGAGCTAAATTTACTAATTGAGGCATCGTCACTGTAAAAATTATATGATATAGACGAGATTTTTCATACGATAATTTTCCAGTTTACCAAGATAGAATATGTTATTAAATGACCAAACTCCTGGAAGCGAGTGTTTAAAAAGTTATTACAGAGACAAATTATTAAGAAATGGCATCTGAGATCCTTTTCTCCTGTTCCATTGCTCACCATCAAGCTTGGGAAGTCTTAATTTGATTTTTCCAAAGTCGTATTCTTTGAAATTTCGGTTTACTCTAAAAATTAGACACTGATTGAGGAATCAAATAAAATTTAAGCTTGCTCGTTACCGTACCTAGTCATGAGTTGGACTTTAACTCTCAATTTATCTGGAGATACTAGTCTGCTCCGTTCAGAGCTTAGGCAATCTATCTTCCTTTTAACAAATTTTATCATATTCAAGTGCAAATTCTTTGGGTTGGGCGAAAAGCATCTGGCTTTGATAGCTCCTCTGGCTCTACCATTGCTAAAGAAAGTCATCTTTCTTTGATCATGCTTTTGCTTAGCTGGCAAAACCAATTGTTTTGGTGTCAATGCTTCATCTCTAGCATGACTTAAGCTAATTGCTTTGTCTTTTGGTAAAGATTCTTTATTACATTGCTAAAGACAAGGATTAGGATATATTAAACTGAGGAATCTGAAATTTCAGATTACAGTTACCAAAAACATGAGGTTAATGGTATCTCATCAGAATCGAAACATACTCTGTAATACTCCACTCTTCTAACAAGCTTGACTTTATCTGATATAGGGATTGGTGTCCTCTTGGGTGAAAAATTAAAACTCAGATCTTGAATAGGAGAACTAACACTCTTTTTCCCCTTGATATCATTTACCCTGAATGACTTGCTAATCATATTTATTAATTAATGTTTCAATACTCGCTTATTTATTTGGGGTTTTGGGGTTTTGGGGTTTTGGGGTTTTGGGG